CATATCCAACATAAAATATGCTACTATAAAACAGGAATAGCATATACAAATGTAAAGTTTCATCTATAGGTTTAAAACTTTACATTTATATGTGCTACTCACTATTTTATAGTAACATATTTAAAACGAAATTTCCCTCACTAACACAGCGAACGTATCCGCAAACTGACTTCTACTTCAGACTCTCATTTCATAGTTTTTACATCCGAATTAGCATTGCTGGTGATTAAATCTCCCATTCTCCTAACTTTCACAAATATCGCAGCCACGGCTGCAAACTGCGACAACAAGTGGATGCTCGTTCAGAAGGATACCTTGAGGCAGTCGTACGAAGAGACGAAGGCGATGCAAAAGGAGGCTATCGAACTAACGGCCTTTATGGCTGAGGAATTTGCGCCCTGGGTAGCGCTGGAATCTCCCTCCCTGTTTCTCTATGGAGACGCTCTACTTGATCGCGCCGCCTTTCACAGGATCCTGCGGACTATGCGGAATGGCCTGAACGAGGAAACCAGGACGCACAACCAGAACAACACCGACTACTATGAGGATTTCCGGAAGTGTTTGTTGAATGTGAAGTTGGAGGCGAGTGTGTGCAAAAGTCTGCGAGAAAAGTGGATATCCGAGTTGCAGAAAGTGTCAGCTAGTCCAGACGCCACTATTGAAGATGTGTACAGGAAAACCTTTGAGGTAAAGTCCCTTTTGCATGGGTTTGCTAAGTCGGTGGTGGACATTAAATTATCCTAGACAGTTTTTTTTAAATTTGCAGCCAGTTGCTATCACATTTTTGTGGTAAAGGAATGAAGACGCTGCGGATATTTTTAAACTTTTATCGCAGACTACTGGTTAAAATCTCGAAGTTGACAGTCCTGCCGGTATTTCTAGCTGATTTACAGAAGCTCTGAAGAAAGGGAGTTTTTTATGTAAGGTAAAATTATTTGGTGATAATCTGGTTGTGGGGTCACTAAGCTTACGCATACGCATAACTGCGTACTTATTTCGTAGTAGTAGGCACAGTTTCTGATTACAAAGGTAAGACAAGGTCCATCCACATTGCACTCCCCACACGGATTTCTTTGGCGTGCTGAGGTTACTTTTAGTTTTATTAGTTTTAACTTAGTTCAGTTTTAGTTTAGTTTTAGTGTATTGTAGTTTTACTTTTTTGGCGATATGTGGTTACTTTTTGGCTTATCGTACTGCAATTTCGATCCAAATGCATTAGAAGCTATTGCGAATTTTAAAATGGTGAAAAAGCCCATCGTTCACGGTTTTTATTTAGTATCTTAAATTCGATATAGAGTCGATATACGATTGTATCTAATTCGGAGGTACTATTGGGCAGTTCTTGCTTCCTATTGGTTGAATTTGTCATTTTAAATATCGCGCGCTAAACATTAGGTTATTTAAATAGCTATTCTTATTCGTTTCTACTTTTATACGCTCTATTCTTTTAATTATTTTTATTTCCCCTGATGTGCCCGAAAAGGAACTGTAACCGATTATCTTTATAACAGACTTTGCAAAAGGACCAGGATCGTAATGGCACTGGAGGCACAGTTAAGGTCTGCGTCTACCTCCGAGAGCATGATACCTCTGAAGTTTCCTGCTTTGCAGCTTTTCCGGAGACTGTTGCCGAAGCAGTCATCGGAACAACCATAGCAGTAAACACAGAAGCCCCTGTGGCTTTAGTAAGTTGTCATTTCCCTTGTAGTTGTGTTGTTTAAGTTCAAAAAAATACGACTAAATCGGCCATCTGCTGATTCGAATGTCAATAGTTCATTATATTTAGGGTAGTAGGTGATGACTTTGAAGACCCTATTGAAAACAGTATGCATAAAATACCCAACATAAAATGTTACAATAAAATAGTGAGTAACATATACACATGTACAAATTTTAGCTGTAGGTATGACCAATGTGCCTACTTACTTATACTGCGAATTCACTGGATTTCTTGCTTTGATGGTCATGAAACTGTAGGCAAATTATCATTTTCTGTGTCTGTCTTGGCCATAATTTAGGCAAAAAATTCTAACCCCCCTACTAATTGAGTGTGCTTGGTAGTCATCTAATGGATTCTAAATTGATTGCTTTGAAACCCCTACTGTACCAGAATTGCTGGCTTTCCTACGTTGCAATAAATTGAGCCAAGTCTGATTAAACTCGTGGTTCCCGGTGCGGGCCTCGTAGCTCAGTTGG